TTTTTTTCGAGACAGGGTTTCTCTGTAGCTTTGGAGCCTGTCCTGGAACTAGCTCTTGTAGACCAGGCTGGCCTCAAACCCACAGAGGTCCGCCTGCCTCTGCCTCCCAAGTGCTGGGATTAAAGGTGTACGCCACCACCACCCAGCCTGTCTGGGTTTTTAATCAGAATTAACCAATATAAAAATTTTTTAAAGATTTATTTATTTTTTTGTTTGTTTGTTTATTGAGGCAGGATCTCACTATATAGCCCAGGCTGGCCTGAAACTTTAGAGACCCACCAGCCTATGCCTCCCAATCCCTAGGATTGAAGGTGTATTCCATCACACCTGGCTATTTCTATTGTTTTGAAATTGTGTCTGTGCACATGAGTGTAGTACCTACAGGGGCCCAGAAGAGGGTGCTGCAGCCTCTGGAGCTGGAGTTCTGGGCAGTGTGAGCCACCTGGCATGGGTGCTAGGAACCGAACTCAGGTCCTCTTCAGGCACAGTACTGCTGAGCCGTCCCTCCAACCCCAACTTTTCATTTTCAATTTGCTTATTTACTTATGTGCTTTATTTGCATGTATATGTGTTAGGGGGTGGTACAGGGCCCCGAGCCCAGGTAAGCAAGCCCTTTACCATGAGGCCAGTAATTTTCAACTTCCTAATGCTGCAACCCTGTGATACAGTTCCTCATGTTTTGGTGACCTCAACCATAAAATTATTTCATTGCTACTTCATAATTGTAATTTTGTTACTGTTATTAATCATAATGTAAATATCTAATATGTAGGATATCTGATGTGTGACCCCTGTGAAAAGGTCATTCACCCTCCCCAAAGGGTCGTGACCTCCAGATTAAGAACTGCTGCAGAGACAAACCTCCAACCCTCTTTTTACTTATTATCTTGAGACAGGGTTATACTAAGTTGCCCGGGCTGGCCTTGAACTACCATCTTCCTGCCTCAGCCTACGGAGTTAGGGATTACATTTGTCTACCACCTATTGGCTTTGTCTTTGACTCTCAAGTCACTTTCCAGAAGGCCTCAGAATGCTGCTGTCCTGCTTGGGAAGTGGGAACAGCTGTTCTGCAGAGAAAAGGCCTCAGTAGGAAACTTAAAGACCCCTAAGTGTTCTGACTGCATGGTTAGCTCTCCTGGTCTAAAAACATGGTTAGCTCTCCTGGTCTGAAAAGGACTCTATTTCCTTCCTGTCTGCCTCTCTCTTCCCCTGAGGACATCCCTCTGCCTTCTTCCTGGCCTCCTCTCCTTCCTTTCTATGGAGCTGTTCATAGCTTCCTGTCCTCCCCAGCAGGGGTTTGGTTTTGTTTTGTTTTGTTTTGTACCCTGCAATCAGTAAACTGTGTGGTTCTCCCTCAACCTTGCCCCTGGCTCTTTTACTCTCAGTCTTGGGCTCTGTCATAGTGTTGTGTCCCCCCCCCCCCACCATTGTGAGATTAAAAAGTGAAGGCCCGAGGGACAAGGCCTTTGGGCTGTAGAGACTTAAAAAATGAAGAATGGGGCTGGAGCGATGGTTTCCCAGGTAAGAGCATCTGCAGAGGACCTGCATTCGGTTCCTGGTACCCACATAAAAGCTCATACTATCTATAACTCCAGTCCAGGGGATTCTGAAGTCTTCTGACCTCCTTGCAAGTGATACACAAAATATATGCACACAAAATGCTTGGACACATAAAATTAAAATAAAAAAAAATTGAATCTTTAAGAAATATTGCAGGATGGTCAGAACTTAACTGCGGAAGAACCAAGAACGGTGACACTTGATCTCTGGAGACAAGAACACATACCCTTACAATAAAGTATCATTGTTTTGACAAAAGGCTGCCCTTGTCCCCTCCCCAGCCTTCCCTGGTGCCTGGCTGTCCCAGGACTCTTCTGAATTGTAGGTCTGACTAGGGGGGGCTCAAGTATTGCTCAGGGGTTGGATGTTGGAGACCTGGTATTTTCTGTGAGTCAGTGCCATCCAGCCTACCTCTTCGTGAAGAAGCAGGCCTCAGTCTGGGTAACAAAGGACAGGCTATTAAAGGGGCTTTTAGAGATCTCAGAGATGGCTCAGTGGGTTAGCCACTTGCGTCCTAAGCATGAGGACCTGAGTTTGGGTTCCTAGCTCCTGTGTCTTTCGCACACCTATAACCCAGGGACGGGAAGCAGAAGTGGCCAGGTCCCAAGAGCTCACTGACCAGCCAGTCAGTGTGCTCCAGGTTCTCAAAAACTAAAGTGGAGAATGGCGGAGGAAGACACTTAACTTTAACCTCTGGCCTCCCCAGAGGTGCATGTGTGTCTGGACACCTAAGGACATTTACCAGGACAACCAGGTGGGGAACTGCTACTGTCCCTTGTCCTCCAAGTCAAGGACGAACCCTGTAGGAGCTCAGAGTTTACTGTGTTTTTGGTCAAGAGTCTCAGCCAAACTGGGAGCCACACTGTCCGGGCAGCTGCAGGAAACAAATTTAATCAGCTCCAGAGGGCAGAGCCCTTTAGCCAGCACAGGCCCTGCAGCCTCTGGCCATGCAGACAAGGTCCACTGATCCGATTATTGTCTGGCGGAAATTTGTTAAAGGGAACGGGGGATTTCAGGGTGCTGGGTGAGAGACATCGTTTCCTCTGTCTATCTATAGTGTTCTCTTTTTCCAAAGCGGTCATCTTTGGTGGTCTCCCAGCTTTAACCACCCACCTTACTATGAGGCTTCATGCGAGCCCTTCCCAGCACTCAGACCCAGGCCACACTGGACCAGACTTTAGAGTCTTCTAGAAATACCAGTCTTAAATTTACAGATCTATTTACCCTCCTCACACCATGGCTCCTCCTTCTGAAACTCAGGCCAAACGCAGGGTCATCCTGGACTAAAAAGAAAAAGAAAAGAAAAGAAGCAACTTTATTTATTTGGCATGTGTGTGCGGGCATGTGTGTCACAGTGCCCAGGAGGACAGCTCTGTGGATTTGGTTTCTCCTCCTGCCATGTAGGACCCAATAAGTTCTCTGTAGTTCAGAGCCCAGGACCCAGGACATGTGCACACACTTGGATCACACATGCACAGAGGTCAGAGGACAGCTTTCAGAAATTAGTGGGACTCCAGGATCAAACTCTGGGCTTCAGTCCTTACAGCAAGCGCTTTTATCCACTGAGCTACCTCTAAGACCCAGGTCTTCTTGTTAAGTACTCCCAGTGTCTCGACCAATCAAAAGACACCCATTGTGGTGCTGTGGGGCCAGTGTTAGAGTGCTTGTAGAGTTTGGGTGAAAGTCCTCCCATTTGCAGTGTTACTAGGTAATAATCTCCATCCCAGAGTCTTCCCTTTTCAGAGTCGCCCATAGTCTCACGCTCAGTCAGACCCCCCAAGCCCCTGTCCCCCTCACTGAGTCCATCTCTTCCCCTTCTGCAGCTTGTCCTGATCCAGCTCCCTGGGGCTCTTGGAGATTAATAGCTGGTCACATGCCTGCTGGAAAACATTCTAGGATTGGCAATGCAGTTCAGTCCCCAGAGACCCACACATTGGAAAGAGAACAAACTGGCAAGTTGTCCTCTGGCCTCCACAACCCCACCACACACATCATATACAAACTAAACACAATAATAAAACAGTTTCAGAGGGGCTGGAGGGATGGCTCAGTGGTTAAGAGCACTGGCTACTCTTCCAGAGGACCCAGGTTCAACTCCCAACACCCACATGGCAGCTCACAACTGTCTGTAACTTCAGTTCCAGGAGATCTAACACCCTCACATAGACATACTCTCAAGCAAAACGCCAATGCACACGAAAATAAATTATTTTTTAAAAGCTACCATTTTAAAAAATTCTAAGATGTGATGTCTCTTCACACAAAGCTCACTGCAGTGCTCAAAGCATCAATGTTTATATTCTCCCTAGACTACCCACCAATTAATGGATGCATGACCGTGGTACATCTACTCAGCGGAACGTTATTCAGTCAGAAAAAAGAATTGATAGACAGATAAATGCTACAGCAGGATGAATGTTAAAAGCATCCTGCATGTGAATGATAACATAAATATTAGTATCCTGCCAATCACAAGATTCCTCAGCCTTTGTGGTTCCATTACGTGACATATCCAGAAGAAGCAGATTCACAGAGGCGCAGGGCTGGTTTCCTAAGTCAGGAGAGGTTGAGGGTGACAGCTAAGAAATACGATTTTTTTGTTCATTGGAGGGTCAGCTGTAACATGGGAATTCACTGCCGCTCGAAAAATGACCCCTATGATTGCTGTCTGTTTTTCTCTTAAGACAGGGTCTCACTAAGCAGTCTTGGCTGGCCTCAAACTCACAGACATCCTCCTGCCTCTGCCTTTCAAGTGCTGGGATTAAAGAAGTGTGCTACATTTCCCGGTATGATGGCTGCCAATCTCAGTAAGGCAGTGCTGTTGTTTTTGCAAGCCGTGTGCAATTTCACATTCAGTATTGCTATGTCTAAAACCTTAAAAGGAACTTTGCAGCCAGTCTTGTTTTCATTTCCCTTTAACTTGTCTATTATTTAAACTTTGGTTGTTTTTTGAGATCAGGATCTCACTCTACTCTGGCCTGAACTCGTGGAGATCCTCCTGCCTCAAGCACAGAGGTGCTGGACTACAGGCATGCTTTGCAAGGCCTCACACATACTAGGCAGATACACGTCCACTGAAATGGTACTTGCAGGCTACAATGGGGCCGGAAAGACGGTTCAGCAGTGAAAAGCAGTTGCTGCTCTTGCAGAAGACCTGAATTTGGTTCCCAGTATCCACATTTTGGCTCACCGCCCTCTGTAACTGCAGCCCCAAGGGATCTGGTGCCTTATTCAGGGATACTGCACACCCATGGTGCACACTTATTCAGGCCTCATGGACACTGCACACCCGTGATGCACAGACCTGCATGCAGGGGAAGCAGCCACACACATAACGTAAACATAAGTCTTTAAAGCTATTTAAGCAGGTGGGAGGGTCTTCCTCCTGCAATAGTATGAGGTGTGTAGGGGCTGACTCTGCTCTGTTTCCTCCTGCACAGAACTTCCATGATGGTCGGAAGGCCCAGCAGCACATCGAGACTTGCTGGAAGCAACTGGAGTCGGTAAGTGGGAAGCTGGCCGCTAAGCCAGTATCTCCCTAGAGAGTCTCTCTTCAGTCTTCATAGGGCTTGAATGGCTCACTAAGTAAAATCCAAGCAAAAACCACTAAGGAGTCTAACTTTTTCTCATTTGCACTTCATTTAGTTTGCTCCTAGAACTGTTAGGGCGAGCAAAGTGCTGAGCCAGAAATGCTTGAAAAGAGATGGCTCAATGGGTAAAGCGTCTGCCACGGGAGCATGAGGACCTGAGTTCGGATCCCCGGCATCACTTGTAAAGCTGGGTGCATAGAATTCCAACACTGGGGAGGCAGAGACAAGAGGATCTCAGGGGTTCACTGGCTGTTCGGCCTGCATAGCCATATCAGCACGCTGCAGACTCAGCGAGAGAGATCTCTCTGAAAGCCAAGTGTATGAGCTGGAGAGATAATGGCTCAACAATCAAGAGCACCTGATGCTCTCCCTGAGGACCCAGTGCCCAGTGAGGCGATACTCTCCTAGCACCCATGTTGGGTGCTCCTGGCCCAACACCTCTGGCCTCTGAAGGTGCCGACACTCCTCTCAGACGCACACACAGCCACATGCAATCAGAATGAAAACAAATCTTAGGGTGGAGAGTGATGGAGGAAGATGTCCCATGTTGACCTCTGACCTCTTCGTGCGCGCACGTGCGCGCACACACACACGTGTGCACAAAAGCAGGGACACACACTCATAAAAAGTGCTCGAGTGGAGGCAGGTAAATCCTCACTAGAGAGGGGTCACTGTAACGTGGACAAATGCGGAAGTCACTTCGGGAATTGATGGCGTGGTGGATGGGTTCTGGGAGGACGCCCATGGGGGTCCCTCCAGAGGAGGCAGAGGGTGGATGACCGCCGCCTGGCTGTGCTCTGTCTGCAGAGTAAGAGGCGCTTCGAGCGGGACTGCAAGGAGGCCGACCGCGCCCAGCAGTACTTCGAGAAGATGGACGCTGACATCAATGTGACCAAAGCCGACGTGGAAAAGGTGAGGGGACTTGGTCTCGCTTCCCTGGAGCGTGCTTCCTAGGCTGCCACCGAGGAGGCCCGACCTCAGCTTCCTCTTCCTGGTATAACCACAAGAGGGTACTTGCTGGGGACAGGGTTTCTTTTTGTGTCATCGCCATGGGGACCAGAAGTCCACACTGGGGGAAAAACCAGGCCTGAGGTGATTTGCTTAGTCACCCCCCTGGTAATGGGGAGACCTGGACACGTCACAACAGGAGTGGCTCAGGAGGTCTTCCTTAGTGGCCCGGCAGAGGCCGAGTTCCGTGTCTGAGGAGCCGAAGCCCAGCTTGTGGGAGAAGCCGGCAGCTCCAGACCTTCAGAAAGGCTGACCCTCTGTCCAGCTGTGTCATGGATTCATCTGGGCTGATACCCAGGAGGCCGGGTGAGGGAGGCATTTGGAAGTCGGCGGGAGATTTCCTCTCTGTGGCTCAAATATAAAGTGCGCCCTTGTCTTCCCAAGCCCAGTGTGTGTGTTTTTTCCCTAGAAGCCCCTTTTCTTTTTATGAGAGTCATCAAGACAGTGTAAACACAATTATGCTGCTAATAGTGGCATTCATTCATGGTGCCCAGGGCCATTTGGGCATCGCAGTCTGTGCTTCTCTCTGGAAAAGCTCTGGTGCTGCTTGGCTCTGCCAGATGAGTTCAGTGCCTTGAGTGGGGAATGTCTCCGTTAGGATGGAGGGATATATGGCTTTTTTTATTACTTTAATATCCTAAAATGCATATTCTTGACATCATGGGGTCGATTTTTACTTTACCAAAAGATATTCATATTTTGATTAAGTGACCATACTTATAAATTCCTACTAGCTAGTCATATCTGAAGTGTTGTTTAAATGTTTTTTTTTTTACGTGTGTATGAGTGTTTTTGTGACAAGTAGCTCTCATGTGTCGCCATCAGAAATAGCTTTGTAGAGGGGCTCCTTCTTTCGGCCATGTAGGTCCTAGGAATCATTAAGTTCTCCTCTTTTACCTGGCAGCCCCTCTTCAGACTTTTTTTTTTTTTTTTTTTTTTTTTTTTTTNTTTGATTTTACGAGACAGGGTTTCTCTGTGGCTTTGGAGCCTGTCCTGGAACTTGCTCTATAGACCAGACTGGTCTCGAACTCACAGAGATCCGCCTGCCTCTGCCTCCTGAGTGCTGGGATTAAAGGCATGCGCCACCCCTCTTCAGACTTTTAAAATGTTACCTAGTTGAGAGTGGTTTACATACCTGTGCCCCCAGCACTTTGGAGTGGAGGAGGAGGGTTGATGATCAAGGTCTGCACAGCGGACTTGACGCCAGTCTAGGACATATGAGGCTCTGTCTTGAAAACTTGAAAAATACGGGACTGGGGAGATGGCTCAGTGTTTGAGAGCACTGGCTGCTCTTCCAGAGGTCCAGGGTAGGAGTCAAAGCACCCACATGGCAGCTTAAAACCATATGTAATTCTAAATCCAGGAGATCTGACAACCTCTTCTGGCCTCCGTGGGCATTGCATGCATGTGATGCACGGACATAAAATAAACATAAGTAGATCTTTAAAAAATATGTGTGCTGCAGGGCGGTGGTGGCGCATGCCTTTAATCCCAGCACTCGGGAGGCAGAGGCAGGTGGATCTCTGTGAGTTCAAGGCCAGCCTGGTCTACAAGAGCTAGTGCCAGGACAGGCTCCAAAGCCACAGAGAAACCCTGTCTCGAAACCCCCCCCCCCAAAAAAAATTGTGTGCATGTCTGTGGTGTTGCATGCCTTTAATCCCAGGAGGCAGAGACAGTTGAATCTCTGAATTCCAAGGCAGCCTGGTCTACAAAGACAGTTCCAGTATACCCAGGGCTATACAGAGAAACTCTGTCTCAAAAAGCAAACCAAAGTTAGAGAGATGGCTCAGTAGATAAGAGGGCATACTGCTCCAGCAGAGGGCCCAAGTTCAATTCCCAGCACCCACGCCACACTGGTCACAACTTCCTATAAATCCAGCTCCGGGGTCCCATGCCTCTGGTCTCTGTGGACACCTTTATTCATATGCATTTGTTCCCAAATAGACTCACACACATAATTAAAAATAAAGGTGCTGGGTGGTGCTGATGCATGCCTTTATTATCAGCACTAGGGAGGCAAAGGCAGGCGGATCTCTGTGAGTTCAAGGCCAGCCTGGTCTACAGAGTTCCTGGACAGTCAGTGCTACACAGAGAAATCCCATCTCAAAAGATAGATAGATAGATAGATGCTGATTCTAAACAATAATTAAAACTAAGATAGACTGAAGAATGTTTAAAATCTCTAGTGTAAATGAAGTCAGCTCCATTTATTATGGGTCATGTGTGGCACAAATATATATGTTCTTTTTTTAAAAAAAAAATATTTATTTATTTATTTGTTATGTATACAATATTCTGTCTGTGTGTATGTCTGCAGGCCAGAAGAGGGCACCAGACCTCATTACAGATGGTTGTGAGCCACCATGTGGTTGCTGGGAATTGAACTCAGGACCTTTGGAAGAGTAGGCAATGCTCTTAACCAATGAGCCATCTCTCCAGCCCATATATGTTCTTTTAAAAAATATTTTTATTTTTGTGTGTGAATGTTTTACCTGCTTGTATATCTGTTTGCCACCTGTGTACCTGGTGCCTATGGAGGTCAACAGAAGCATCAGATCCCTGGAATTGGCGTTAGAGGAGGTTGTGAACCACCGTGTGGGTGCTGGGAATCAAGCCTCAGTCCTCCGTGAGAGCAGTCAGTGCTCTTCACCACTGAGCCATCCCTAAAGCATCATCAGTACTGATTCACAGATGTCTAGACCATAGGCTACATATGGATGTCAGAGCCCCGCGCCTTCCACGGTGACCCCGTTTTGGCTTTCGTCAGCAGCCAGTGCTACAGTGTCCACCTCCCTTATCTCTGTGCCTCTTCTTTGTGTTTCTTATCTTCCTCTGCAGCCTGTGACCTCCTTGTACAGAAAGCAGTAGTCATTGTGGGTTTCTTTATCTCCTTCTTGATTATGGAGGGTGCTTTGGATCTCTCCCACGAAGAGTGTAATGAAACAGGCCTTAACCCTGGCACTTGGGAGGTGGAGTCAGGAAGCTAGCTGCGGGCTCTAGGCCAGCTAGGCGAAGGGAGATCTTGATTGAAAATGAAAGGAAGGAGGGGGAAGAAGGGAAGAGAAAGTAAAAGACTTGTTTTATTTTAATATGCCTTTTTAAAAAAGAAACTGTCCCTCTTTTCTTTTTTTTGCCAAAATATCTTTTTTTCTGTCTTATGTGCATGGATGTTTGCCCGAGTGTGTGTTTTTGTGCCAAGTGTACAGAGCCTGTGGAGACCAGCAGAGGCCATCAGGTCCCCTAGAACTGGAGATACAGATAATTGTGAATCACACTGGGTGCTGGGAACTGAACCCAAGCGTTCTAAAAGAACAGCCAGTGCTCTTAACTGCTGAGGTAGCTTTTCTGCCCTCCAAAACGTCTGTTTTTTTTTTTAAGAAAAAAAAGCTTGTTTGTTAACCAAATATCATTTTCTGCTTCCTTTAATTCATTAATGCTGTAGATTACATTAATCCATTTTCCTACCTTGAACTAAATTATCCTTTGCTAAACTCAGCTAGACTATGTTGCTGTCTCTTTAAGGATGCAAAGTAATCATTGAACATATTTTACTCAAGAGTTTTCATTGTGGTGAGTGAGGCGGCCCACACCGGTAAGCCCAGCAGCTGGGGACAAATAGATGAAAGTTTGGGGCTAGCCTGGGCTGCATAATGAGACTCTGTTTAAAAAAAAGAAGGAATGCCTACTCTTGAATTCATAAAATCTCCCTTTCCCTTCTGTTTTAGTTTACTTAGATTTTGGAAGATTGTTCTTTTTTTTTTTCCGCAATAATTGTAAGATGAAATTACGTAGTTATCTGGTTCTGGTGTTTGTCCTTTGTTTTTCCTTTTGTTGAGGTGGTATCCTGCCTCATGGCTCAGGCTGTCTTTGCATTCTTGCTGCTCCTCCTGCCTCAACCTCCCCAGTCGCTGAGCTTGGAGACGCACACCACATAACCAGCTCTTGTGGTCTCTTAAATGTCTACCGATGCTTCTTTGTGACAATGGTGTATGTGTGTGGGTGTGTGCATGTGCGTTTAGGGACCTGCAGCTGCAGTTACAAGCAGTATAGTTCCTCTGTGAGAGAAAATGGCTCTTAACTGCTGAGCCATCACTCCAGTCCTGAGTCAATGTTTCACTATCTGCTCCTTTTTGAACCTGGTGGATTTTTATTTTCACTGAACGTGGAGCTTGCTTTGTCTCGGCTGCCCTCCAGCAAACCAATCCAGTGTGATCCCTGGTTCCTGATCGCACTGAGGGCCTCTACCTGTAGCTTCCGTTCTACTACATGTACTATGGTCCTGTAGCGCCTGTACTACATGTACAGCCTGCACTACGGACTCAGGAGAGAGGCTGGAAATTTAAACACATACACACATAGACAGAGAAACCGGGACACGGGTCATCCTTGAAACAAGAATGCCCCCTTTATTGTGGTCCAGGGTAGCTTATATAGGGATCCTTAACTGATAGCCATGCCCCAGCCAAACCCACCAGAAACCATTCCCCTGCCATCAGGAGCTCATGAGGGTCTCATGCTCAGAGCAGCTGCAAACACAGGAAAACAAGTTGTTTTGCTCAGAGCAGCTGCAAGCATAACAAGTTGTTTACAGGAAATTCAGCGTCTGGGGGTCCACAGCCCCCAACACTACCTCAATTGCATATTTCCATTGACTTATCTTTCCCTACAGGGAGCAGGGGTTAGTTATTTTTCTGAAAGTGCCATGGCCACCCTCACCAGGAATCTGAGGCCCCCAAATTGGGAGCCATGAGCATCAAAGTATAAGCACTGATGCCTAAACACTGAATATTTTAGGTCCTTCTGCTTTGAAGGTGACCTGCAACCCGCTGGCCACTGCAGGCTATGTGAAGACATGAAGTCAGCTTTTCTCACTGAATTCCCCATTGTTATCTTTGCTTTATTCT